ATGAGTGCCAAAATTGAACAAATTTCTGGCAATGGACCTTATTGCTATAAGATATCAGGTGAAGTTTATCATAGAACTTCAGAAAATATTGAAATTGATACATCATTACAACCAAATTGTGTTAGAGAAATGTCTCAGCCACCATCTTATGCTGAATTGTATGTTTATGATACAGATATTTCTCTTGAAGCACGAATGTTAAATTCTGCTAACGCCCAATGCCGTCGTGAAAATATGATTATCATTAGCACAGCAATAAATGAAGTCTCTCCTTATGCCAGTTGTTATAAAAAACTTCGAGAAGTTTATGATAAAGAATTATCTGAGAGAAGAGCAATTAATTTACCTATGAACAAAATATCATTAATTTTTATTCGAAATACCTATGATGATCAAAGAGCATACAATGCTCCTCGAAATACAGATGATGTTGCTATCGTTTTTGTAGCTGATCGTGATGGAAATATACCTGCTGAACTTGATTTTTCAGTTCAACCAAATAATTCCAATTCGTTAAAACGAATTAACATGCTATCTAAACATCTTGATCCAATGGTGTTTCCACTCTTTTTTCCCAATGGCAATTTTGGATGGACCGCAAACATGTTATATAATGAACATTCCAATACACATATTCGAAATAAAATAACGGTATTGGAATTTTATTCGAATAAAATTGCAATTCGACCGAATCAATTTAATCCATTATTTTATGGCGGTAAATTATTCCAACAGTATTTAGTGTTTGCATATGCCCGTTATGAGGCGAATAAGATATCATTCATACGCAATAATCAAAAAACTCTACGTGTGGAATCATATCAAGGTTTGTTAGATCATGTTAATGATTTAAGTCGCAATAATAATGCGCGTATTGGCAATTTATTTATTTTACCGTCATCTTTTGTAAGTGGTCCACGTTTTATGTCTAAGTTATATCAAGATAACATGGCAATGGTGAGAAAATTTGGTAGGCCAGACCTATTTATCACCTTTACGTGTAATCCCAAATGGTCTGAAATATTGTCTGAATTAAAGTCCTTTCAAAATTCTTCTGATAGACAAGATTTAGTTATTCGAGTATTTAATTTAAAATTGAAAGAGTTTTTAGATGATATTGTGAAAAAAAGAATTTTTGGTGAAGTAATAGCATATGTTTATGTAATTGAACATCAAAAACGGGGTTTTCCATATGCCCATTGTTTATTTACTCTTTCGAGTCAAGATAAAATCAGAACCTCGGATGACGTTAATAGCATTATTAGTGCAGAAATACCAAGTCAAGAACAACACCCAGATCTATATACTAAAGTATTAATACATAATATTCATGGACCATGTGGTCAACTGAATCCAAATTCGATTTGTATGATAGATGAATCATGCACAAAAAATTTTCCTAAACCTTTTTGTTCAGAAACTGATGCATCTAATGATGGTTATCCAATTTATAAACGTCGAAATAATTCTAATGAAAGGCATTTCGTTCGTAATAATATTAAAATCGATAATAGATTTGTTGTTCCATATAATCCGTTTTTGACTATGAAATATAATGCTCATATCAATGTTGAAATATGTTCTACAGTCAAAGCAATAAAATATATTCATACAAGTGGCCCCTATAAAACATAGACATATAGATACACCTATTATAATTTAGTAAGTTTGGTCATCATTATTTTCGTGAGACTTTTCAAATAATATTCGGAAATAATAAATAATATTAAAAAATTTCTTTATAGACAATATTGTCGGTTACGACAACATCGATCGTTTCTCCTTGCAGGGTATTATTTTTAATTTGGATTTTTAAAGAGCTAGAATTCATAGCTCTCGAACAACCAGTATAAAGTTGTCCGTGAGAGAAACAGGGATCTTCGAGGTAAATTCCTACTTTTTCAAAGGTTTGGCCCTGAGATTTATTTATCGTCAAAGCATACGCAAGGTTCAATGGAAACTGATGTTTAACAAAATTAAACGGGAGAGCGGTGTCGTTTGCTGTATCTAAAGATATTCGTGGAATAAAATGAACCGATCCAGCAAACGATCCATTATTGATTTTACATTGCATGACATTTTGACGAATTCCTAGAACAATCAACCATGTTCCATTACACTATCCATTTTTTACAGATAAATTTCTCAATAACATTACAGTGCAACCTAATTTAATATTTATTTAAATGGGGGCAATCCAGGAGGATTTAAGCTATTCAAATATTCTACTGGAATATTTACTTGTAAATTATCATTTTCAGAGCCATCATTATTTTTCACGGAATCATTCGCATTGAAAGTTAGTTTTTCAGAAATTTGTAAAAGAGCCAAAACATTTTCATTGATTAAACGTACATGTTCGTTTTTAGGGCAAAACATTTTTGAACATTTGTATTTTGCACGGATTTCATTATAGCATCTGCAGCTAAAAGTTGATCACTATTAAGATTATTCCATAAAATATCAGTAGTATTATCAACAACTATATTATCTGGATTTT